TTGTTGCAGTAGCATGAGATAGCTTGATTTAAAACTTTGAATTGAATAAAAAATGACAAGGAGGCTAAGCAGTTAATAATAAAATAAGAACAAATAAAGAAATGACTAATGATAGCACAAATAAAAAAAAAAGGTAGGTTTTTCAGGTAGGTCTAACACACAATAGGGACTATTAAGAGATTTTTTCTTACCAATTATCCAAATAATGTTTAATCATAGAAAGCTATTATTATCAGAGGACGGCTGGTTTTGAGATGTGAGGTTTGCAAATGAGTGTGCACTTTAACTAGAGAAATATGAAGCAAGATGTAATGAGATTTCTGGACTTTCAGGACCAACAATGTCTCCCCGGGTTGGGAATTGTGAAATTAGCAATTTTTGGTGTGCATTATTATCAAACGAAACAGAGGACGGGAAGGAATACACAATTCAGCATTGTGTGGGTGATGAGTCTTTTAGTGGAGTAATCGTATAGTAGCTATAATATTCCTCCAAGGCCTCTTATACTGCCATTTCACTGGAAAATATCAATCTCTCTCTCTCTCTCTCTCTCTCTCTCTCTCTCTGTTATTTGCAGTCATTTATTATAGATTTCTAAATCTGCATTAGAATATTATCAAATAAGTTCAAGTTAAAGGGTCATTCCATGAAAAAGGAGCCATTTCCAGTTTAATAATGTGAATATTAAGGTACACTGTAAGCTGTGGTTGCCGGAATTTTACCGCAAAAATATGGTAGCAACGTTTTAGGTTTTAGAGTTTTTAGAGTTAAATACCGTAATTTCGTTAACTGATATAATGTTAATATACCAACCTATTGAAGTACTGAAATCTGTTTTGTACATGTGTAATACACTGATAACCACCAAATGCAGGTGGTGATGAGAAAGTCACATGATGAACCAAAGCCCATCACAAGCAGCTTTTAAATAATAACATATATAGAAGGTGCACAGCGTCATTCACACAAACACTAAACACCATAATGGTAACACACATGAAACTGAAATAATGCAATAAACATTCATTTAACAATATTAGGTGTAACACACAACCCTAATATACAAAACTGATAAGAAAAAACTAAGAAGAAACATAGTTATTTCAACAAAAAAAACATCAAATTTGAAATGTAAAGCAGGGAATTCTGGGAATGTCAATTTACGGTTAATCACTGTAAATTGTACGGTCTTTTCCACTTCCAAAAACGGTATACTACCGTAAAATTAATGTACAATACATGTAATGTCCAATACAGTTTTTCATGAGCTGAACTCAAAGATCTAAGACTTTATCTATGTACACAAAAGGCCTATTTCTCTCAAATATTGTTCACAAATCTGTCTAAATCTGTGTTAGTGAGCACTTCTCCTTTGCC